GTTTGATGGGGTTCAGAAAGAAACGGTATTTTATAACCCCTTATCCACGACAGAATTATTTTGTCGTTTGTTATATTAAGCCATTCGTCATAATAAAATTGTAGTCTACCCGCGACAGTAAAAAGTTCGGTATTTTGTACCTCTGATGACGTGATTAACGTCTCCAATGCTGGTGACTGTACTGGCTGGTCCTGGGTTGGTTGGCCCCGCGGTGGCGGCCCCGCGGCGGCGGCGGCGGCGGCGGCAGCGGTGGCCCTTGGCGCCGAGGTTGTGGGGGGTTCACTCGCTGCTCGGCGGCCGCTACTCGCGGTGCCCCCCTGGCGTTTAAAGTCTCCGGTCGACGAAATCCAGATGTGCTGGGTTGAGCGATTGGCTGTTGGTAGTACCTACGACTTGCTGTAGGCTTCAACTCTAATGCGGACTTAGATATGGCTTTCAATGACTTCAGATGATCATGTAAATCGGAACCAAATAAATATTCATCGATTTTTGTATTTTTTATTATATCTCGCTTTTGTTTGCTGATGGAATTTATAATGGAAAACCTCCTTGATACAGATTCTTTGTAATGAGTATCGCATAGTAAACGGCCTGCGTCACCTAATGTTTTTATTATTTCCTGTGGTATTATTTGTTCCTTTTGAGCCAATGCTAAATTCAGACCTCGACCTATGGCGGCAATACAACTCGCCATTTGGTTTTGCTTTTGCTCGCTATAAGAGTCCTTTTTTAAATTGGTTTCCGAAAGAGCCGATTTGACTTCGGGATTCAGCTTCGGTGCTTTCATATGTATGCAATTTTCTGCGGGAAGGTACTGTTTTAGCAAATCTGATTTTTCATCTTTTGGCAATCCGTTAATCAATATGTATTTCCACCTTACTGCTAAGTCCTTATGTAAGTTATCGCCAAAGCTTTTATCTTGTGTCGGGTCGGCACCTAACAGCTCTAAAATATCAGGTTCTAAATCTAGACTATTATCAGGATTCTCCGTTTGAAAAGGAGCCTCATTAACTGGGATCCCGTCTGTAAGCCATAAAACACAACATTAAATAAAATTGTTGTGTGAAACACTATTTCAAGAGAAATAGACACTTTTTATCCACACACGATAATGTCGGGATAAAATGAATTAGCATTTTATTTAATTTTATTTATTTTTGTGTGTTATCTACACACGGTAATCCGTCGAGATAAACAATAGGTGATAAAGCAAACACCAATATAACAACCCACACACGATATACGTCGGGATTTTATTGCAATTTTTTCAAAACGCCATTGTGTCTACACACGTAAAAACGTCGAGACATAGATAATTTAATTAAAAACTTATATATTTTTCCCATATGAGAAAAAACATGGTGTGTTATGTAAGAGTACTTATATCCTTTTTTAAATATCCATTGTAATACAACTACCGACCGACTGCTTACTTTTTTTTTTAAGTGGGTAGCTGATTTTAGCTGATTTTCCCTAAGCAAAAAATGCTTTAGAATTTAACTTTGTATGTTATATCAATGATAGAAAACTCACCAACATTTTCTGGATCACTCATTAAATTAATTTGATGCTCCTCATTATCGGTTGATAACAAATGTTCCGTTCGTTCGTCCTCCGAAGAGGACGATTCTATTCGCCGACCTTTTTTAACCAACTTTTTAACCTTTTTAACGATTTTTTCCACTAAGTCACTATCATCTCTACTCGATTTCCTCTTTCTTTTACCCATTTCTAGACTTTATCGAAATTATATAAAAAATACTGTGGTTTGGACGACACCAAAACGAGTAATGAGTAGGAACAGTGAGTGCCGGTAGATGGCGGGCTGTCATAGTCCATAGATAAAATGAATTTGATGTATTATTTTTTTAATTCAAAAAAGATTAAGTAACTCTTAAATGTGGTGAGGACAGCATCATCTCGTGAGCTGCTGCATGTAATATGTAATCATCTTCGGGAGAGATATGAAGTATAATATCTGTCGAACGTCACTTACAGGTAAGTTCGTTTGACTTTCAATTATTATCCATAAGTTATATCAATAACAAATTACTAGATGAAATTTAACTTTAGGTAGTCAACCCGTGCAAAGTCATGCTTTTCTGTCTGACGGCTTCTTGCATATTAATATGAACGGAGCCTTAACATGGATACTGGCAGATTACCGCCGATGGGGAGGAGTGGCCCTCCCCTACTGTATAGTAATAAAGGCACGTTATACAGCAATAAAGGCACGTTACATTAGTGGGACACGGTGTGGTGACGGTAGTAGAGCCCGCGGCTTGTCTATCACAATGTTTCCTTTGAGTGCAAAGACTTTAACTAACAATATTCGAATAGAGTAGGTATCTACTTTATAATAATAATAATAATAAAAACGTTTATTTGGCACAAATTACAAAAATAACTTCTTGTGTTACATATAGGTGATTGTGTACCAAACAGGCCACTGCTCAGTATATGTCGAGACGACATGTGCCACGACACTGATTTTCTGCAGCAGCCTACTTAAATTAAATTACATTTAAGGTCTTAAATATCATTTAAAAAAATATTAAGAATAAAAGATTTAAATACATATGTCAAATTATTAAAATCAATTGGATAAATATTGTGAAACAAAATGAAAGCCAAAAAAAAATTAAATTAAAATTTACAGCGTATGAAATGGTGCTCAAACCATGGCGTTCTAGCGACCCTCGTTACAACTTTTGCACATCCAATAAATATTTCCTGTATTTAACTTTATTTTATTTGGAGGAGGAATGTTATTCCAACATTTAGTCGCTGCGTAACGAAAACTACCTGGGAACGCACTAGTTTTATGTGCGGGACACCTCATACGAGATGTTATCCGCAAAGGACGCTGAGAGAAACCCAGCTTCTCATACAAGTATATGGGGCGCTTACATTGTATAACTCCAAACAACAAACTCGCAAAATGCATTTTGCGACGGTTTTCCATATTTAGCATATCACTTCTATTTAGATAGGGTGTCACGTGAGCTCTTCGGGGAATCGGAAAGCAGTACATCTGGCACAAGCGTTCTGTACTCGCTGTATAAGCTTTATCGTAGTATGCCAACCTTATACTTATACCTTCTTATTAATAATAGAGAAATAGGCTTAGACTAGTTACGACGTGTTTTGTTCATATACTGTCTTATTACGAAACGTAGACTAAAACTAATACTGTCACTTTTGTTTGCTAAAAAGAAGGCAGAGACAACATTAGGTTTAAACCAAGACTAATTTTTGTGCGCGTTTTAGAATAAAGCGGATGAAGACAAAAAATAGAGTAACTCATCCAAACTTATACTTCGTGAAAATCTAAAAAAAATTCTTTTACTAGTAAAATGTTAAATGTCGTCGTCTTCGTTTATTAATATGGAGGATACACATTACATATGAACCCGTTAAAGTTTCGCGGATCATCGGATGACCAACAATATCGGATAGATAAACAATCTTAATTCATTTGCCTGAAACACAGGTTTACCTAGTTCAGGTTTTAATATAAGTTCCATATCGTTTGTTATGTCTAGAATTAAGTAATTTATTGTGAACTGAAATTCAATAAACATTTGTTATTATTATTCATTTATTTATTTATTATATTTTTTATTTTAAGCATTTAACTGCTAGATGTTAAAATCTAAAGAGGAGAATGGTGCGGATTCGATTACCGTCTGCTACCGGGACCGCGTCGAATTTTTTCAAGTAAAATTTCCTTTAAATCATTCTTAATTGTTGAGCAAATTCCCCAATGATGATCTTGGCCTTAGTCACTGATCGTCGTCCGGTGCCTGATCGTCATTCGAGGACATTTCCGACCCAAAGACAATAATTCATCTATCTTTCATCGGCATCCTGCCATATTCTGCTAACGGTCGCGGGAAACAGCTGGAAACAGCTGAAGACCAAACGGTGTGTAATACATCTTTCTTTGTGGAAGGCCTAGCTCAATAGTTTAAGCATGTACAGAGAGAGGCATTTTCGTTTCCACACAACATCCAAGTTAAATTTTTCATACTGAATGATCATTAAAAATATTATTCACAAGATTAAATGGTTATTATTATTTTGTGGCAACTTAATTCATTGCGGGATGTTTACTTGAATGGCTATAATAATCTAAAAAGACTTCCTATAGACCTAATAGGTTACATTATTAGCAGATGATTAAGTATCTAATAGAGAGATACTTTTACGGTAAGCGTTCTGGCGAAGCGGCTTCCTGTGTCAGCTATCAGTTACTATTGCTAATGTGTCCCTGTCTACCGGCTGTTGCCGTAGACTAATTACCCCACACATCCCCCCGATGGATCCGCTACTCGACTCCCTAATCTCATTGCATAATCAGACAACGCCCACAAAAACAAAGGATACTAGAGCCTTAGTTACCTGACAGGAAAAGGAAGAGATAAGATTTTGTCCGGCCACGCGCGATAACCGTAGACAAAGGGTGAATTCAGTAAAATTATTCTAGTTATCTGAACAACTGATCTTCAATAGCACCTAGGAACATGTTCGGTGGAGTAATCTGCAAGTTTTCTATAAGAAAATCAAGATTAGAGACAGACATGTTTTAACCCACAGCGAGATTATTTTAGTATTAATATCGAAAACAATCGTAAGTCCATTGTCTCGAAACAATATCTTGAAGTATGATGAGATGATCTACAAAGATTGTCTCTTTCGTAAAATGTTTTAACAAAGAGTTTAATTCCGGATCCATTGTTTATAAACCAGTAAAACAGGTTCTTGATTAAAACCACTAGGCAACAAAACTTCAGTTTTTTGCAACTGCGAATAGTTGTACCTACACTTCGAAATCGATTTAGTTGGAAATAGTGAAAATAACAGCATGACGCCTAATGCAGAAACTGCATCTATAACTCACCGAACAGATTATAACGGATGAAAAGAAAATATAATGCCTGTCAAACGCAACGTTCACAAAAAAGAGAAACGCTTACACGAGTCTATTCTAAAATCAGAATGGAGAGAACTCAGCTATCGAAATCCGGCAGGCAGGCGGCAGGCGGCGCGGCGTGAGATGCCCCGCGGTGTTGATGAATCGGGCGCACCATCCAGCCAGAGATGCGGGCTTAAGCCGAGGGATGTAAGAGGTAAGGGCAACCTCGATGCTTGATAAATGTCACCTTTGTTACATTTGTCTTTACTACAATTATTTGCCACGCTTTTGTTACATGATTAGATTTGGCTATTTTCACTTATAATTTAATAGCAGAAACATGATTGCATTCTGATTTCAGTTTAGTATGAAACTTGTTTTCTGCGAAATTGTACTATACAACTCCAAGGATAACAATGTCTCTCTTTTAAGCTGCCGTTGGCCGTCCGCCCGGTACCCTTTGTGTATCAATCTACGAATTAAATTTAGCAGCTTCTAAACATGTTAAATCTAGTGTTAAATCGAATACAATGGTACGGCACCCTTCATATGCGAGTCTAACCCGCACTTGGCCGCTTTCTTTGTTATTCTCAACGATGGTGAATACTCCTAAGTGTATGAACACAGAGTAAAGGACGACTCACGTTATAAACGAGCGTCGACCTTAAACAATACATTCGGGTACCGATCGGTTTGGTATAGCGTGTGTCCATATAAAATGTATGTAATATTAGTTAACGTCCGGACCGGGCACGGACTACGCCCGGCCCGGACCCATAACTAACTGACTCGTATCGCGGCACATTAGATTCTCTGTCAACCCCGGAAAAGGTAATGGCGTAAATGTTTGTACTAACACATACAGAGTTTGTAAGTCCCAGTGAGATATTGAACACGTCAAAACTTCTCCGTAGTTCGGTGGCTCGAGTATTGGCGTTGCGTTACCGAGATAGGAGCTGTCGGCGTGATAAGTGGATCGGAAACTGTCGGCGGGCGTAAGTAGGCGATCCCCGACGGAGAGATATGCTCGCCATTCGTACGGCTGAGCGCTGAGCGCCAGATAAGTCGCACGCTATTAATACCGACCGGGCTCCTCCAGGGGTAACAACTAAGCCCGGATTTATACTCACCAAGTATTGCGATAAGAACTCGGTATAGATGATCCGTGATCCGTCATTTGTGACCGTAGAGAATCGAGACGCATTGTGGTCGCTGACTGACCTGTTATTATCGAGAATTCGAGATGCCTAAAATTTTATTCAGTATTTCTCGTTGTATTGATATAGAACTACAAAAAGAATAAGTGGAGTTTGGAATGGACAATCCCACAATAAGGGCCGTTCAGTGAATAAACGTCCTTATTGGCTATGCCACAGTTCAGGTTCTGTATTTAGACACTTATATCAACGTAACGGATTCCGCAATCGGAACAAAGCGACTTCGATTATTGTGCAAAGTGACCCTCGGCTTTTTGTCCGCTTTCCATCGCCGAGACCTACAAATCGATTGCCGTCTGCGTTTTTATCGTAAAAAGCGGCGACTGTTGAGGCCGCCGTGGTGAGGGGAGGGGGAGGGAATCCCCCAATAGGCGGCACAAAAACTCATCAGGGAAGTGTCAGGCGCAGCGGCCGGGCGTGTGCAACCATCCATCAACCTCAACCACCCTATCCTTGATAGTTCATTCAAATTGAGATTTATTTTAATGATAATAATAAAAAGTAACCATGAATGAATTGATATTTTTGTCGAATATTGAAACCGCTACGCTTCTACCTTTCGCTCTAAAGGTCTGAGTTCGGAATCTGGTGGGAGCATTTGTTTGTGTGGATTAATCATGGCTGCTTATTTATTATGATTTGTGTATTGCATTCGCTATTAAGTATTCATAGCCCTTTTAAAATTTGGGACAGGCTATTAATGTCGAGTCAGCGGCGTGAACTGCTAAACATGTATCAAAGTAAAGTTAGTAAGTATACCCATTAACATCGACATTGAGCTATGTGTTTTTTATTATGTAGACCTATATAATAAAAAAAAACATTATCCCATGTCGGTTCTTTCTTGTCCTGAAGATTTCTGCGGCCATGCATTTGTGTACATGTGGTCGTGCATCAGTCACCACAGTTTCTCAATAGAATGTGGATCTTATGAAGCAAAATAAAGCTCAAGATCGGTTGGAACTACTTGACAGTTTTAGGTAATTAATTTGACACGTGGTGTGGCTGTTGGTACCGGTTTCCCTATAACTAAATTAGTGACTGCTTTGCGTGTTTTTCTTTCTTACAGAGCTACACAACTTTGTAGTACATTCTTTGTGTAAAACTACTAAATATACCGAATTTAGTAGTTTTACATTAAGAACTACAAACATGTCTTTCTATTATGAATAATTATTACTAAAATGCAACCTTATTTTAACCTCTCAACAGGTGTTTAAAACCGGATGTTTTTAATAAAGCTCATCATCGATTCGAGGCATGTGATTTAAGGTTGAGTGGAGCCCTTTCTTTGGCAGTGCGAGCATGGAACACAGCGCCGCGGGCGCAGCGAATGCGGCGCGCGGCGAATCAGCCGGCACTGATCGCCTCGCTCGCCTGCACCGTAACTACCGCATTTGAATATCAAAGAACCATCGGTAGAAATAACTGGGCTGAGTAAATAAATTATATTTTTAAACCTTTCAATGTTGGAATATAGATATGCTGAATTCCCTTTCCTTTCCATTTACTTCCCTACAACTGTTACATACAACTCCATTTAAATTATCCCACGCCACCTGATGTTAAGTGAATTGGAGTCCAATTAGAAACATGGCTGACGTGGCAGAAAAATTTGATTGCAGTGGTCCTCAGTGTGAACTCTACCCTGTGGTATAAACTTACTTACCTTACGAAACGTAGTGCCGTTTTAATGAGGTCATCTGGAGGACAATTTCCTCAGAGTGGTGCTCCGAAGCATCCGGGAAACTAGTTTAAGTCTACGCCTCTTAGATTTTTATTAGTAAGCAAGGATATGTGAAAGTATAGCTATGGCGGCTGTGGTTGCTACGGGGCATGCGCTCACGCACCTTGCATCCGCAACTCTGCGCTAATCTCCGGCTTACACCGTTTAAATTATGGACGTACTATATTTATTGTAAGACCGTGGCGTGGTTTAATTTCACGCAGCGTCGCGTTTGTCGTGGCCCGCGGCATCACTGCATCATGAGAGCATGCCTTCAAAATTACTATACCTTTTATTTGATGGTAGTGATTTCTGACAACAGTATACAGACAGACGCTTATAGGATGGATTTCTTTCTTTATTACTCAATTCCTTTTGAAAGCCAGGACGACTGCTTATCATTAGACACGACGAGTATTCTTTTGCCATCACGTTTGGTTAAAAAAATAACACATTGAAATAGAAAAATGGTATTGTATTGTGTGTATATAATTTTATTCGAGCAGTTTCCGTAATCTGGATTGGTAAACTAAATTATTACCTATTAACAACTTAAGGTTTTCTTAGAATCACTAATCTAAAATCAGGAACTAAAGTTACCAAGATTCAAAGAGAAATCCTTCTAAAGACACTGAAGACGTTTTCTTAATTAAATGAGTACTTAAACGATCCTCAAAAAAATATAAACGATGACTTAAAAATACAATCGATAAACTAAGAGTTAAAATGTTTAGTTGCCAATTGTATTTGTCTGAGGATCAAACTAACTATTAATTTTCATGATCATTTAAATATACCTAAGCCAATAATGAATGGATGTCCAAACAATCTTAACATCCAACCAAATATACATATAGGTTGAGAATCGTCGAGCACACTGTACCCTTGGAACCTACTTAGAAACAAGGCCACATCGCACCCGTCCCCGGTGAAACTGTCCAACATTATAGGAGTGTCGAGTCGGCACAAATAGCCGACGACCATCGGATAGGCGCTTCCAACGAGTACGTGCGAATTATACGCCATCTTACCGGCAGATCTATGTGATCGAACCGTGATAGTCTCCACCAAATTGCTGTTATTAGATAGTCGTTTATTAAGTATTCGCTTTTCCTAAAAACCTTGTGGGATTAAGACTCGCTTCATTTGCATAACAATCACGAGGCTACATTTGAGTGAGAAACGGTTTAGGCGAGACACCGCATGCTTTATCATTTGTAAATCTAGAGACCATTATAAGATGTTGTAGGAAAAGGAGATGGTTCTAAAGCTGTAGTTGGTTTGCGGTAGCGACGAAACATATATAATTCGAAAGCTTGTTTTACATTATAACATGAATAGATAATTTTATTTTTCATTTATCTCCTTGTTTTCATTTCTCTATCTATATTTGCCTTAGATTCATTGTAATAATTGGATAATTTTGTAAAGATGGTGGCCATCCAGGAACCACAATAACTTCAGCAATCAATAAGGTTAGTGCCCCACGTGTCACAAAAAAAAAAAATTGTCTGCCGAAGACTGACTTCCGCCCTCCATTCAAATTTGAAACCATCTCCTTTCCTTTTTAGAAGCAAATTAATTAAAACAAATAGCGTTGCGTTTACACTAATAAATAAACAATATATGCAGGACCACACAATACCACAAAATAACTCCTTTACTTACATAAGACATGTCTGTATTAAATTTCAAGTGAAACCTTATATTTTGTGAGGGTAAAACGTATACTAGTTTGCTAAATTTCAATCAAATATTACAAAATCTCACATTTAAGTAATATTGAAGAATGACACGAATACTGAAAACATTTAATTGAATCCTTTTATGTTTGGTGTTTGTTTGAAACAGTCATAAATGCACAGACAATAGTTTTGCAACCTAAGTGGTTTTAGTTATCTTAAAAACCTCTCCTTTTAGTAATCTGTCAAACTGTAGCTGTTACCTAATTTACTAACTGATATAGTTCTGAAATAATATTGCTTATTCCTTAAGCAGAAGTTTTGATAGAGTAACTTAAGTACTATAATCAGAAATTTTCAAGTGAGTCGGCGTAACAAACTTGAACGTGAAGTTTCCGCAGCAGCGTCGACGAAGCCGATAATTAAACGAGCTCTGTCGGGAATCGAACCAGCGACCGCAAGTGTGAAGTGGCAAGTTTCGAGCGCATTGTTCTTTGTTCCACTGTTGGAAATGGCCCACTCCGCCCTCAGCAAACACACTGTGCAAACACCCACCGGACTGGCAACAAATTTATTGACACACCATGCAGACCTTATGCTCATCCGCATTAAGTCTACTTTAACAGTGTTTGATCGTAAATGGTAATTTTGTCGTTGCTTTAACACGAATTCGTGTTCGAGTTGTTAGGGAGTTCAAACTTACCTGCGACTGTAGTTAAAGAACACATTTCGCGTGCGTGAATCTAGGAGAGGCCGCTTTACACCGAGCCTTTCGTAATCGCACATAAGTGTAACGATGATGGATGGCAGCAATGTATATCAGGTTGAGTTGGTGTGCCGAGAGCATGTGTGGTCGACGGGCGGATATCGGCCGTCTCAGGGGGGGTCTCTGTTTACTCACTATGCTCCTCATTGAACAGACACATTGACGTTAAAATTCTCTATCGCGACAATATTTGCTTTACGTGGCTGATTAAATAGCAGCCCGCATAAAGTTTTGAATATTCAAAAAAGATGAATGGAACCCCGCCGAGTTGGAAGTAGGGATGAAACGATACCATCTAGGTATCGATACTTTTACTCGATACTGTATCGGTAATAAAGTATCGATGCCTACTCGGTATCGAATGAAAAGTATCGATACTTACTTTGACTTGACGAACGATATTACAATTACAAATTCAGTCACAGTTTTAATTTGACGAAAACGAAATAACGCCTCATGCCAAGCAATGAACGAATAACTGACTGAAAAATTGGAATTAATATAAATCATACGCAAGGCTGTCAACTGAGCAGTAGAAAAGATGCGTTCGCGATATAAAAATTCCAACTAGACTCATTACCATAGAGTAAACAATCTGCCTTTAGGTTTTTTGGTACTTCTCAGTGAGTGACCGACCGAGTACCGATACAAGTACTTACTTTACGATACTACTTGTTACTCAGTTCTAAAGTATCGATGCCAAAGGTACTTGGTATCGAAAGAAAAGTATCGAGTAGATACTTGTATTTACTCGTATCGTTTCATCCCTAGTTGGAAGATATCGGATTGTGGCGGACACTCGAGACGTCTCCAGACATCAGAGGTTTATGTACGAGGAGTGTTTGCCATCTTTTAACGAGCGTTAAAGAGAGCCTTTTACTGGTCTGGAGGGTCGGAGTGGTGAGCGCAAAGCCCCTCCGTCTGGTTCTTGTCGCAGGCAGCAATAAGTTTTTTTTTTTATGTTATAGGTGGCATACGAGCAGACGGCTCACCTGATGGTAAGTGATCACCGTCGCCGATGGACACTTGCAACACCAGGAGTATCACAAATGCGATGCCGGCCTTTAAGGAAGGAGTACGCTCTTTTTTTGAAGGTTTTTGGGTCATATTGGTCCGGAAACACTGCTGGCGACAATATATTCCACAGTTTTATAAGTACGCGTCGGTCGTTGGGTCGTGGGGTTTTGTGTGAGAACAGATTAGATGATGCCACGAAATTATAGGCTGCGAGCGTTTAATTATCTTCTCAATGTGCTGTTACTGTAATTACAACGTTCTCCGAGAGATTAGTTCAGCGACGACCTCGTGACACTATAACCAAACCATTCGCATTCATGTTACAGTATGAATTCGTGTTTAAACTTTATTAAGATGATGCTGTCTTGTTTTAAACTAGCTTTGCCCGCGCCTTCGGTCACGTTAGATTTAATTTTGAGAAAAGACCTCCCGATCTTGGCGTTTTACTCCTTCGGGAGTCAGTTTTGGAAAGTCCTTACTTAGAGCATGCATTCATCATAATAGTTATGTGTGCCAAAATTCAGAGCAATCCTTTCAGTGCTTTGATCGATCTATGATAAATCAGCCAGTCGGAAATGGTTGCCTTTCATTTAAACAGGTTGATGTCCACAAAAAAATGATTTATTTGAAAAACGTAATTGTAGTAACGCCATCACAAGATTTGCCAATAGGAGATTTGAATCTACACATTCTAATGTTACAAATTCACAAGTAACTCACTGTTTGTTACGTTGAAAATAAAATAATGTAAATAAATTAAGAAACTGTAATAATAGCAGATCAAACAGTCTTATTAGTAGTGAAATAACACTTTTCTGACAGGGATTACACACAGACAGGCGTTAAATTTTTGTGACGCAAATTTTGTCATACTATGCTGTCTAAAATAGTAAGTTTGCTAGACAGATATTATTGAAAAGTGTACAGTGAAAGCTATGGCAGTACAGATTGGTACTCTACAGGGTGTCCCAAAGCTCTAAGTAGCTTAAATATTCTAGATATAAAGTTTTGCTGAAAATTTTTATTTTAAAAACAATATAAACTGGATTAAAAGAATTAAAAAAAACACACGACAGAGTTGAACCCGTTAAATTTATAAATTAAATTATCTGATTAGATTAAATGAAAAAGGTTACCGGTAATTTTAGTATACCGATCGAAAGGCTCAACCATGTACGTCTATTTATTCTTTCTTAATAATATAGTATCTAAAATAAAAATGAGATCATGAAATTAAGGTCAAATTTAAAGTGTTGGTCAGATTAATCGTGCTCATAGCATGATGGAGCCTTTCGATTGGTACAGTAAAATTACCTGCTGTGATTTATTTTTCACTTTTCGCGGGTAGAACGAAGATAACAACCGGTTCAGTCGGGCGATTTTCAAAAAATCTTTGAACGCTTGATATTTTATAAAAATTAAGTCTTCTTCTTACAGCAAAGTTTTCTATTAAAGCATAAGAAGTACTTTCCCTCCACGTTGTAAAGTTTTGGGACACCCTGTATAATGAAACCGTTGCCAATGTCGTAAATTGTATCTTACAACGCGGAGAATATGCTCAATCAGTGTTTATTGAATTGTGATGACTAGTATTCTATGAGAGGACTGATGACCTCCATGGAGAGTGACTTGCAGCATGTTCAGCAAAAATCCTTGTCTGTGGTCCAGGTCAATGTACAAATTTTCTACATTGTGTCTAGTCGAGGTAGATTTCTGTAAACATTGCTTGCAATTATAATAAGACAAATATTTATAATTTTTATTTTTTAAGCATGTAACTGCTTGATGTTTTAATCTAAAGAAAATATAACTAGAAAAAAATCCACGCGGGCCAGGCAGCAGAAGGGACTCGAACCTGCACCCTTCGCAATCCAGGCGAATGCACTGACCAAGTATACTACCGCGGTCCTGACGGCCGCGACGAAATTCTTCTAGCCATTCTTAAGCTGCAAGGCAGCGCCATTTCTTCGCATTGTAGGTAACCCACAATGTCAAATGAATACTTTTACAAGTATTAAACATGTGAAAGAAGAAAAAGCAATTACAGTTATAATTTTTATTTTTTAAGCATGTAACTGCTTGATGTTTTAATCTCCTAATAATCTTGCAGCATAAGAATGGCTAGAAGAATTTCGACGCGGCCGTCAGGGCCGCGGTAGCATTATTGGTCAGTGCATTCGCCCGGATCGCGAAGGGTGCGGGTTCGAGTCCCGTCTGCTGCTTGGTCTGCGTGGAATTTTTTCTAGTTATATTTTCTTTAGACAAATATTTTATTTAATATTTCTCACTAACAGTATTAGAGAAACTACCCGAAAAATACTTTTTTTGATAATATAACATTGTAATCGTGCAAATTAGATGTGACTCCATAACTTTAAGCGAACGGCGGCGCCGAGTTGTCATGTCAACGAAATACTTCTTTATGTGACATAAATTCCATTGCCTCTCTTCTTGGAAGTTGTTCAATGTTAACTTTGGTGATATAACAAAATGAATGGGATGCCAGCAAATCTATTTTTAAAAGAAGTTTGACAATCCCCGGCGGCACGAGTGTGCTTGAAAACATCTGATGCAAGCATTTTCCAAACTATTTTGGCAGAGTTTTCATTTAGTTTTGTCTAGCTTGTGTGTAAAATGGTCAGGTCAAGGCGGGACGAAATTCTCTGCTGCCTGTTTATTAGTTTTATTGTGCAACTACTTGTTTTAGTCATGATGGAACCACATTAAAAGTATTATAAAAGAAGACATCAAAATAATAAATTTATCAAACAATATTTACTTAAATAAAACTAGTTTTTACGGGTTAATGCACGAAACTTTATTTATTTATTGACGTTTCGCAGCCTTTTCAGGTCTGCATCGTCAGAATAATGATTTTTTTATTTAATTCTGTCGAGCTACCTTCGAAAGACTTTTATTGAGCGTTCATTAGCTCGCCAAATTAAATAAAAAAAAAATCTGACGAAGCAGCCAGAAAAGGCTGCAAAACGTCAATAAATAAATAAAGTTTTATTTAATGAGTGATGTGCGTGAAAACCTAAGAAACAAATACAATATTTACTTTAAATGAACGTTTCCAATTATCTATAAGTCGGAATCACTCATTGAATTTGATTTGTAACGTGGTTCCGTAATGATCCGTGTTAGATTAGACACGCACACATTGCAGAGAGGTCCGTAAAAGTAATCAGCTGCCTTTATATCGTCCATTCGTCGCGTCGCGGGCGCGCCGCGGCAATTGTACTAGAGGTCATTAGCGTGGCGCGGCCCACACATGGTCCGTCTATTCATGCCGTCCACAACATTATACAAAATTCTCGTTCGCCAACGAAGATAACAACGCAATATTACCACTTACCATTAGCTAGGTACTTTAATATCTCATAAGCTATGGGAATAATTGCACGACCCCTTTGACTTTCATACAAGTAAGTAAATAGCGATAAAAACCGACATTAGTGTGCAAATGATAACCACGCGGAGGGGAGATGACGTGGCGAATTCATAAATGGCTTCCCGCGATGAGGGTAGGGAGGGGGGAAACCTTCCATTGGAGACGGGAAATAAGGTTAATACTTCTCTTGTCCTTTGCCGTGATGACGCGCCTGCGAGGGCTTCATTGGAATTATTTACAGTGGGGATTTGTAGGCCGCGCATGTAAAGATGTGAAGGATTTCAATCAGAGGGTGTACAGCGAAATAAAATGAACGTTTTTATAAAAATTGATATAAAATTGACGTAAACTATGAGATTCATCGTTGCCGACAAAAAGAAAAAGTATATGTTGAACATCATTAAATAATTTAAAGTTTGGCTAACTATGCGCCCATTTTTATCAATTAATAAAATCATTCTCAAATATTACGCGGTCTGATTTGCGACCAACTAATTTGACGATAAATATCATAATGACGAAAGACGGAAACATTCGGCTAACCATGCCATTGTACAAGGTTAATAACATACGAAATTCAGCCATTGTTTAGGTCAAAAAACTCTGAAGAAATTATGTTTCTCTTGTAGTACCCTTTTTTCATTTATAAGTTTTTATTGCAGCAATAGAAATGCACATTCTGTGAAAATTTTAACTGTCTACCTGTTACGGGTCGTGGGATAGTCTAATCTGCAGACAGACAGAGGTACAGCCGAGGTTAAATAATATAGTTCCGTTACTATCTAAAAAAGGTTTAAAAGTGTTCGAGTGTCCGTTGAATATGTATTTATTCTTTCTTATCAACATTGATAATAAGTGCAAACCTTCCTGGGAATGAACTTCTTATAACTATCATGAGTCTAGGCGTTTCCACTATTGATAGGGTTGCCAGATGTTGGCTTATCAATTCCGAGACGTTTGCACCCCCCCCCCCCCCCTTGAAAAAATACTGCATCAAATCAACCAGAATTAAAATATCAAACAGGCCAGCGGTGTTATTCGTTATTAGTTTATTTTGTTACGAAACTAGCACATTATCGGAATCCGGGACAATAAGGTCCAATTACTGGACACGGAACAAGACGCTAAATTCCGGGACAATCCCGGATTTCCCGGCCATCTGGCAACCTAGCCATATTGATGATTGATGGAGTTTCTTTTTTACCTACCTTACCTTGAGATCGGAGGTCAAGATGTTTGATGTTAGTCGACATTCATTATTTAATCATTTCTCATTAAAATTTAAAACAGTTACTGCAAATCTAATTTGCGAGTCAAAACCCAAGTTAAAATAAGCAAACACTTAGGTCAACTTCATTAGTTGATGGAGGTATTCGACTGAATACATATTTGTGAACGCGTTAGGAATTTCAATACTCCTAAGTACTCGCGTCAATAAGCCCACACGCACATTACTAAAGCCGTGCAGAATAGAACGAAACCCCAAAAACATTTTGTGGGATTAAAACTATTCCCGAGAGCGGGCACCATCGCATCCCAGACAGCGGCAGCCAGCGAGAGTGCATTCATTTGTTTCCAGCTAAAGTGTATTTATTTGCGGCCTATTCCGGAATCGCAAGACAGATTGTTGGGGCCGTGTTTATCCCGAACCCGGGACCCATTCATCGGCCCCCGACGCCGGCTACATTCCTGTCTCTCCAGAATTACAGCGAAATGTAGATTGCGAGGCAGACATCATTAATTTCTTTGATGGATCTACGGCTGGAAGAATTTCGCTTTAATTACCTCGCGACAATGCCTATTTTTGTTTTCGGAAGAAATTAGACGGCAGATGTCAAGTTTTGACCTTTACATTACGTACGCGGACGGAAACAAGGAATTTTGTAGGAAATTGGGAAATTTTAAGCGTCGGCAATTCGATCAAAACGACTTGATGTTAAATTTAAAATAATGCTACGCAGGAACCATTCCATTACATGAATTAGTCATTAACCGTCAGAAAAAATGAAATAAGGTAATCAATTTCAATTTATTTTTCATTAAAGTTTCTTCAAAAAATAGGTTCTTTCTTTTTCAGTCAGGAATAATCTCATTAATCAAATAGAAATTCTAAGCTGCTGTAGGCTAATGCGAAATTAAAATATTTGACGTGTGTTTTATGGATATTAAAAAAATACAATCTGATTTGCTATAACCATATACCTCACACAGAAATGCATAGTTATTCCTGCATTATTACAGATCAAATTGGCCATTCACATGTAAACAAACCAAACGATTCCTGTTCTCTAAAAATAACTTGCTCGCTATTGATTTGTAACCTTAATGTAGTACGTGTGGTAATTTTACCCAAATTCCATTCCATCTTTTTGCAACGGAATGGCGCGTATTTAGATGAGTGCCAACAATCTATGTATCCTGTGCGACACAGCACGCACACTGACGCGAGCTGACGAGTCAGTCGGGCGGCGGTGGCGAGTCAGGGCACACGCCTTCCCGCGCTCTTCCGCCATCATCCCGCCACGCTGCCGCCATTACAGCCATGCACTACTGCGCAGTCGACGGCTGTTCCAGCACCAAAAGACAGAAACACATCTCTTTCTTCCGCCTACCTAAAGAAGAGGAAACGTGAGTCACATTCCGGTCTTATTACTCGCTCTGAATACAAATTATATCGGTTACAAATGCTCTAAATAATCTGAATTGTCTTTTCAGACGCAAAAAATGGCTGCAGCTAATAGGACGTCCCGACATTGCGACGTCTCCGACGAGTCCCAACAACCATTTCGTATGCTCTCTACATTTCGATGAATCGATGATGATAAGCGTGCCCAAACTCAAACCGGACGCTTTGCCGATGAAACTACTGCCCAACTGTTCCCGTTTGATCAGTTACGACGAGAAAAGTACGCAGACGGACGAATTGAAGATAGACATATCGTCCGCTCTTATCTACTCTACTGATAATAAATCGTCGGGGCAAAGTGCTTCCGATAGTATGAGAACTGACAATCCCCAAACTTCAGTACCTCTGTCTCCGGCGACGCGGAAAAGGAAACCACGCGAACCGAAGGACACAGAAACGAAAAGAAGAAAGCAGCAAAACGGAACACTGGAATTAGAAAAGGATGCCCCAAAACAAAAATTATAGTAATCCGTCAAAAGGGGATTTAGAAACTTACTCAAAAACAATTTCAATACCTGACTTTGTTTGAGGATGATTGAGACTGATAATAGTTCCAGCAATATTAGTTTTATGAAACAAATTTAAATTTATCTTTACACGTTTCTTTGTTTAGTCGAATTATGTATTAAGTAGCTTTAGATATAATAATGTTATGTACCTACGCATTTATATTATTGTCAATAGTAAGCAAAAGAACGGATTGTTGTTTCAAGTCTTTATACACGTAAATAATTAATACAAACGCTATTACATTATCGCATATTGTATACAGGCCCATTATTTTAATGACCAATTAGTTAGACAATGAGTGAAGGATATGGCAACAAATCTAGCGTTAATGCATTGAATTATAGCGATGCTATCGGGTTTGGTTGTTTGTCGTTGAAAATCACCATGTTTTCACGGTCGATAAATTTCGCCATTAAATGTGTCTCGCCATAACGCTACCCCTGGGCTAAACGTGAAAAAAAACCATTTTTTTCGACCATTCATTTGGACAATACACTTATCAAGTGATTCTTTTGTCAAAGCAAAGGAAATGAATAGCGTTTTTTCTCGGCACCCCAATACTCGCTGAGAGTTTTACAACGCATTCTGTAAAGGAATAAACAAGTCCACTTTACGACTGCGTTTCAGCGAACGCGGTTTTTATATTCAAATTTCAAATTCAATTACTTCGAAATGTATTATCATGGCCTCGGAAATCAAATGAAAATGTAACTTTATCGTATAATGACGTTCTATTTATTTACGTTTCTATTATTGTATCGAAATATTCTCTTGGCAATAAAACAGAAGACAAAAAAAAATATTGTGAAACAGTATTCAGATAAGGAATGTTTTTTATCAAACAATAATGCTTTACTTATTCCAAATACGATTTAAAACGGCTTCGTAGACAAAAAACAAATGAAGTTTTCTAACTTGTAGACTTGAAAGGTTGAATGTTTGGGTTTTATTGGCGACCCGAGGGGACCGCAGGCGCGCCGCGTAATTATTTACAACTTAAATACCGCATGTTCTATTGCTGTTAAACCAGTGTTTATTCGACAGTAAATATTTACAGCTGGAGTAAAATTCAACGGATATGGTTGTGATGTCATTATCATCGATAGATTCGTTGTGTCTATTGATTGGTGAAACTGATCACGAGTAATGAGGTAACGGATATAGTCGCCGTATGCCTTACATGGATCCATTTCATAGCAACATGTCCCTTTAGATGGAAATCCAATCTCGGACGGTATAAGGTGTTCTGATTGTGGTCGGGTATTTTATAACCGGTCTCATGAGATCGAGTGCGGTGTCAACCTTCCACACATCACATCGCATCTTTGAGATCGCTTCGATGAATCTACTCGTGTTTATGTCTTTAGAGAGAACCTCGTTACAAGGAGATTGTTGTTTTCCTTAACCACCGCCTATAGAGCCTATAGAGGTGAGGCAGGCGATCACTCGTGTCTCGGCGATAAGCGTTAATGGAAGGCAGTTTAACATGGAAACTAACTGCATCCGTACCGTATCCGTCGAGAGTGCGGCTTTAAATAGCTCGAAATTGCGTTACCGTGAAAACATAAATTGAAGTAATGGTTAGAACTGTGTTTTTTCTGTTAGTTGAGCAAGAAAAGTTTGATGTAATTTTGTCGGTGCTCGATCGACCAAAGCAAATACATTATGGTGGTCGGTCAATCCTTTATTTGCCGGCTAAAAGGTTCCGTGTGGAGCCACCTAGTTAGAGCCTGGCCGATTATCGACGCAGCCTAGTATCTGATCGTGGGGCGTGTCTTCTTGGAGACTTACATAGTAACGCAGATACGCGCCGTTTTTTCATCGCTCGCTCGCCGATGTACCACGCAGCTGCCGTGTTCGCTGTCTCAAAAAGAAATATCTCTCCGCACAACTATCTAGTGAGCCACTCGAATGCCATATTTATAGTAACACTAAAACCTCTTGAGGAATGCGAGATCAAACTTTTGTGTAGATATTTTATGTGAGTTGGAAAGATTGGACCTTTAACGTTACTATAAATTGGAAAGGAATCGTATCTAGATAACGTGTAAATGTTTATGGATTCAAAGTTCCCGTATCGGACTGCTACAAAGGACTGACGTCACGTTCTTGAGACAATGGCGTCGGTGTTATCTGTGCTATCTGAACAGAGCACAATCCGGACACACTTCGGGGAAACGATCTGTGGAATCTTGCACAGCGTAGGCTTGCGAATAGGAATTTAAACACTGCAGTAGCTATGTCGATACCCTATACAAAGCTTCGTCATTCTAGCTATACCCAGTTGGAAAAAAAATGGGTAGGCGTATCGTAGTCTCCCAAAAGTGGGCGTCAATCCACGTCAGAGCCGCGGCGCGCCCACAGATAAGTATGGTTACTGGTCCCTGCCAACTAAGAGATTAACGATTGTACAGACGTCAATTACAATGATGATTAATCACCATTGTGTGCATGTTGTTCGGGGATATGTTAATGAAAACATGCTAAATCCGCTTTGAGATCTTCTTAAGCTTTCCGTAGATCAATGAAATTGTAACGACCGGATTCGAAACTATACCAAGTAAGATAATTGACATGAAAAAAAACCCGAATCACGCATATAATCATTATAAATACAGAACGATGTATAATGAGATCTCAATCTCCATGAATGAATACTTTTTTTTTGCGATGCATTGCCCCTCGACAACATCACGCACTCCAATCGATTTGCGAACAAATCACGTGCAATAATTGCCGAAAAAAACTCAGAGAAAGTAGCTTCCATGTTTAATGGAATGTTCCGCTGTAGCAACAAAATTGTGATCAGAGCTTAACAATTTTACGACGCTATTTGCTACAAATGGATGCAGCGCTTAGTCCGTCGCGCTTTCAATAGTCTTATTCCTAGAGGATTCCCGATAAAAGATTAGCGTCGTAAATTATAATCAAACGACGGAGCTCGCTGTCGCAGGATTTGTTAGATAAGCCTTCGACAGCGTTCGAGTCCGAGCCGTCCGTGGGACGCGCGATAACGTCCGCCGGCCACCGCCAGCCTCCCGCTACGAGTATCTCCTGCCAATGCATCTTCAACTCAATGCATGAAGGAACAGAAACTAAAACATCTACGCCACTACCTCTATCCGTCATTGTCACGACACATTTTTACTCATTGAATCGATCAATGTAGCAGGCCGTAGCTGCAACCTTCCAAGGTATTGCCAATATAACCTTAGAAACATCAAAGCGGACGTTGTTAAAGGACGATTCAAAGAAACTGAAAATACTGGAAGTAATTGCTTTTATCTTCGGTCCATTCCAATTAAAGGAAAAAGCAACCCACCTCCGCCTAACTCGCAGGGGAAGGAGGACTATAAATTAAATTTCACGATATCTAAACAAGACGACTGCATCGGGACTGGAGAGAAATGAAACCGTTTGTTAGAGGTCCGTTCCGAGAATAAAACATTCTGATTGAGATTTATAACAAACATGGCACAATGGTCGTGTTGCGAGTATTGAAGCCGACCAGTCCGATGATTTAATAAAGTGAGAGGCGAGTTCTGGCTGAAATCAATACCAGTCAGCCGGCGACACCGGGCACACTGGAACATATCGAAACATAACACGCTTCGAAAGGAAAATATTGAAACGTCAAATCGTATCTCGTATTCAATACAAAAGAAAAGACTACACTCCGTTGTCAACCGAATTGGAATCGTCGTGACGTGCAGATGTTGTATCAAATACCACGGTTCTCAGTACTTTGTAACTCGTGATTTGACCATCGAACCCTGAAGCACACCTGTTTTGATAGGTTTATTTGCAAAATAATAAATAATAACATGGACTTTTGATTAATATTATTATAACTTAAAATTCAACGGCATGTACTTTGAAAACTCTTGGTTGAAAATATTCTTACAAGGGCAAAGGCACGTTTATTTTGGAACTCACGTAGCACTTTTACAATTCAAGATGCCAATCTTATCTCAATAAATAATCTGATACCGTTCCTGTCTAAAGCACTGCGAATATAGATAATTAACCAATTTCATTCAAAATCGCAACGGTCTGGAATTTCGTCTAGGTAAGTAAAGTCCAGCCGGCAAAAAGTGCGAAGTAATTACGCGAGTGGCGCGTCATTAGTTGAGCGTGCGCTAATGGCCTCCTCATGAGCATTGATGCAGTAACGAGCCTACCAGAACTCGCAGTGGCTGATCATCGGGACGTCACTCATCACACGTATTCTGGTAATTGGCAATCCACTGTCACACAATAATTGCACGGCTCTTTAAATGTCAAGCATATTCAACATGACATTTCAATGCAGATAAAAGTGAATAATCGTGTTTCGTTCGAAGAGTAAAAATGGAAAATAATAGTAATTTGGTTTAGTGCGTCTGGTAGAGCATTGAAATTGAAGAGCACTATGAAAACAGATAAATAATTTTGGACAAATCCTTTGAATATACCGCAATGACGCCACAATTACAGTCTGGTGGACTGCAGATGCTCTTCACGGTGCGATAGAGATTAGTTTACAATCGGTTGTGTCACAGTTTCAGAAACAATTTGAGGTTCTTTCATAGGCTATTTCAATAGGTATGTCTGTCCCATATATTTTATGTTTGTCTGTATTTTTTGATCAATTTAATAATGATTAGGATGCTTATGCTATTGGAAAGGCCTATGTCCAGCAGTAGACTAAGATAGCCTGTTGATGATGATGATGAGGATGCTTATCGGCCAGAATTCGACTTTTTAGTTCTTCCACCATAGTCGTTATATGTATGTGTGTATCAAACGAATAGGGCATGTAGGCATTTGATGTAATTTTATTGCATTATAATGTAAGGTATTGTTAGCTTTTGCACTCCTTCTTCGTGTAAACTTATATGCAAAATCTTACTTGACAGGAGTAAAAGTACGTGTTTATTTATATTCATCACAATTTATAATGCTCCATTCGGAAGAGTCTACGGCATTTCAGTAGCGCATTCAAAAGCACTTAAAGAATCTACAATCACAGCCGAAACTTGTGCAGGAATGAAAGTAGCGGCCATCGCCCGCGCCGAGGCAGACTGAAACAAAACGAATTCGAGTGGATTCTCCAATTATTTTCTCGAGTGGCTTAAACTGTTTTAATTCAGCTTTCAAGAACTACTTCGTTTTGTAGTAAGTAAACGGCAACGAGTATTATTAAGGAGATCCGAAAGTTAATGTAAAAGTCTGTGCTCCAGAATTTGGTTTTCCGGTTTTTAGCACTAACGAAAAAAGCAATTTCGCATTTTTTTAAAAATGCTCCTCAGAATCAAAACTTAAAGTTTTGTTAAATTTTAAAGATTTACGCTGAATTGATGACTTCTTTTGATCTAAGTTTTTTTTTACCAGTGATATCTTAAATTATTGCCAAGACGCATTAAAACTGTGAGAACGTAACTGAATAATTTTAAATGACGCCGTGCATCTTACAACATTC